CTTCGAGTTACACAGATGTTTTGTTTTGTTTGACGTTATGTTGCCCAAAGTTCAGTTAACTTAATTCAAGTTCGAGTTACTAAATGTTGCCCGTAACTCGAAGTTCAGTTAACTATAAATTAAAGTTCGAGTTATTAAAAGACGTTCAACGAAAACAAAAATGTATATTGCCCGTAACTCTAAGTTCTGTTAAAGGGGAACCGCTCAATCCCAGGGATTGCACCAAAGAATCATGGGACACTATTGTTTATGTTGTTTACAATGTTAATCTATCTTTTGTTATCCATTGTTATTTTAATCCAGAAAGTAAATATGTTGTGGGATTAGGCTTAACTGGAAGGTGCCCTTGAACTGGTAGTTGAACATCGAGTTGCAATTTGGGCGTAGTTTCGCAAAAGTGGGCGTGGCTTGTAAATATGGGCGCTCGAAACTCGATGTCCGTAACTCGAACAATTCAGGATCTCTTTTAAAATATATCAAGCATGTGGTTATATTGTTCAGTGTGTATCCGAAAAGAATAACGTGGTAACAGTGCTAATACAAATATTGCAAAAGAAGCTTTGAAGGACATTAGATTAACAGTTTAAAAAACGACCATTTTTATATGAGTCGTCAAGATACCAGGATCACGAGTAAAGACGGGGTAAAACATCGCGATATCACAGGGTTGTCAAGTATAAACTACTTTATTATATATGGTTTCACTATATATAAGTGTTGTACGCAAATACTGATGATTTTCGCAGCGGATTTTGTTACTTATCGTTTTTGGAACTATATGTCCGCATGACGTGTACGAAACAATGACGTACACTCATAATGCTGTACTATTACGTTCACCATCCTAGTACAGCCAGATCTGAAGGCCTTTGCCGCAACACTGTGTGGCGCGGATCGCGTGGACGGGATTCATGTTCTCTGCACGTAATAAGCTGGGGGAAGACGTGTAGTGGCGTGATTTGGTGCCGTACGCGAGCGCCCGTTCGATTCACGCACGCAGTACATGTATACTATGATTTGACGTAGTATTTACCTTGCCGTTTATTCGATGTTATTTGCTTACTTGACGTACACTCATAGTTGAAGCACGTTCACTCATTGTTGAAGGCGAAACCGTAATGACCAATCAGCGTCCACCATACCAACTTCTGTCCAATCAGGAACAACCCAGCTCACCATTAGGTCAGTACTTGTCACTGCAACACTGTATCCATCTACTATTTTCGTTGATAAGTAAAAATCGCTAAATTAAATCAGAGTGAACTTGCGGATTACTATAACAATATATGTATACAGTCAATGTTAGAGTGGCTTCACAACTCTTAAAAGAAATATGCTGAAATTAATGTGTATTTTTTCAATGCTATTTTGAAATTTATGAGATATGATGTATTTGTTACGATATTATTGACCATAACAATTATACTTTTACAGAAATATTGACCTTAGTGAATAATTGTTGTTTAAGTTTAAAAACGGCTTTTTGCGCTAATTCTTGTTTATTTATATAAAATTTGGTGCATTTTGGAATCCATCATTTGATTTGATAAAAGTAGTAGGTTATCCTCGTGAGATCTTCATTGTCTACATACCAATTGCATACCCTCGCTTTTTCCAGGATCCTTGACTAAGTTTATGGAAAGTAATCATACCATATGGGTAATCTAGTGTTGTATAGTGCTGCAGCAGAGGCCACCCCTGAGAGGGGGTAGTGGCACCCAATGTGCAACATTTGTCCTCATGCATAAATTTGAAGGACAATATGTCTAGAGTATGAAACAGTCTGAGGACATCTTTGGAAATGCTGGCGAGCTGAGAAATTGAGGTTTGAATTTGGTAATGTAGAACCGGCAAAATAGACGCTATCGGTAATATAAAATGGGGGTAGGGGAAACATAAATCCTCATATAATTCCATTTAATTACTTTATCTTAACCTATATACCATTGTAAAGCTATATTGATAGCCTTTCAGGCTCTGTAAGTTTTATGTACATAGGTCATAGTCAAAGGTCACCAGAGGTCAAACGATCACGTGACCAATGGTATCACACATATTTTCACCGTATAGCATGTTCATGGTTCACTTGAATGATATTGATCAAACTATGCTTAGTAAAATTCCATTTTATTTAAATAATTACAGTTTTTGTTTGACCATAGGAGTTGATAGCAACATTTTATTGTGTATCCTCTCTCAAAAAGTGTTTGTACTTTCTATACATCTGCAATAGCTTTGCGCACAATTTTTCTTTTTCTCCCTAACACACACTTTATCTGGGGGGAAATCACAATCCAAAACACAGATACAGCTAATCTATGGTAGAGGCTTCTATGGACAATGTGCCTGAAACAGAGAATATGTACACAAAAATGTTAGCTGCTGCTAAACGAAGAAGTGATCAGACCATGTTGGCACTAATTTATTGTGTTGCAAACGGGGATCATGTAGCTGTTGAAGCCAGGTACCATAGACAAAACGGGTGCTACCCGAGCTTCATAAGTGATAGACACTGAAAATGTGTACCAAACTGCACTGAAGGCCTTTATTGATGAATTCCGACCAGCCATTATAAACGAAAAACAAGTCTTCACCCTTTCAACACTGTGATCTCGCTTTCAAGAGTATGCAACTGAAGCTGGTGTTGAAAATCCTGAGAAGTACAGGTCATTTCGTTTGAAACGGCAACTTATGCAAGAATGCCCTGACATTGCATTTGTTCCTCAACATGGCATGTACGACCTTGTATGCTCAAGTGAAATCTCAGTGGGTGATGCTCTGTGTAAATTAAGTGACTTGGTGAAAACACTAAAGGGCACATCTGAAGAGATGGAGCAGCTAGATGATACAGAGTTACCTGAGGAGGAAACTGATGAAGCTGTAATTGTACATAAAGCTGTCAGTATCCTATGCCAACGCTTGAGAAAATCAACAGCTCCACCACAGAATTACTTCTCTCCTGATGACATGACAATGGCCTCATTGAAAGACTTTGTAGACCCTCTCCTCTACAAGGCTATAGGGTGCCTAACAAACAAAGACCTGTTTTCCAAGGCAGCGGATATTGCTGATAATGACCAGATCCAGTGTATGTGATATAACTACTTTGGCCACTTCAAAAATATCACCAAAGCATATCGGGTTGGCCATCCACCTTCATCATGAATTTGGGAGCAGGAAGCTTGTGGAACACATGTTCTCATTGGGCTACTCAGTATCCTATTCAGAACTGCATTGCTTCCTTACATCAGCAGTGCTTCAGGTCAGTGTAACACAGACAACACAGTATGGCTCATTCGTTCAACCCCAAGTGTTGCCCAAGGAAAGTGGTGGCAAAATGGTCATCAGTGTGGGAGATAACTGCGATGGAAAGTTCAACAGGGTTTGGCTGGAATACACCCTAGAAGCGACAGAAAGCAAAGCTCAAAGGGCACAGGAGGATCATTGGCCTGACCCTGAAAGGCCCAGCACTAGCCCAATGGTTTCTTGCCAGACCCACAACTGGAATATATTCCTGTCGTTTCACCCATATGATCAGTCATAATCGAGAGTCTTCACAATGTCATACAATCAATGCAGAGATCCGATGCTGGAACACAGATGTCACAAAAATGAAGAGCATGTTTGATGGAACCTCTTCAGACCCATTCAATCTGAGGGAGCCACCTCCTAACCTCATAAATTTTGCAACTGGCTGTGTTGCTTCTGCACAGGTAGAACAATGTTTGACAACAGCACTTCAAAAAGGAGCGGCCCTTGCATCCCGATTCATAAGCGAGAGATTGGTACCTGCAGAAGGCCACCTCAAAAGAGCTTGTACGATGCATTACCCGGATCAAACATACATTAAGACTATGTCTGACATGAACAAGTCTGTCAGGGTTTGTTTAAAGAATGTGTCAATTTTGGGGAAAGTGATGTACCTACGGCTACTAGCAGTGAATGCTGTAAAACGAATACCTCTCTAGAGAGTGATGGCTTTTGAGAATGCCTCAGTTCCATTGAGTTTATTCTCAGATGATGGTACACCTTTGTCCTGTGCAAAGTCTGATTTCTTGCACAAACTTGAAGCCCCCCTGCCCGGTGATGAGAGCACTGTGGGTCATTGTGATGCCATTATCTTTGATGGACATGCCATCATTCAGATGCTTCCTCCATCTGCCACTCTGCCAAATGTCACCTTCAGGGATATTGCAGCTAACTTCATGCAATACATTATTCAGAGGAGCAACAAACTTGGGAGCACTTCCATTCTCATTGCATTTAACAGATATGATAAGCACAACATCAAAAAACAGACTAGATTCAAAAGAATAGCATCAACCCAAGGGCATGAATATCATGTAAGTTTGGACATGCAGATACCGATAATATGGCGTGCATTTCTCAACAGAGGACAAAACAAAGCTCAGCTTGCCAGGTGTTATACTGACTACATGACTGATCACACAGGTCATTTTCTTGGGGAGAACCAGGTACTGTATATCAGTAGAGGTCAGATCGACGGGGCTCTGAGAATAGATAGGCAGCAATCCCTGCCCTGTCCATCACTGGCATCACCACAGGAAGAAGCTGACACACGGATTGTGCGTCATGCTGTACTCGCAGCCAATGAAGGTGCAGAGCAGATTGTTGTCCACAGCCCAAACACAGATGTTCTTGTTTTGCTTGTGCATCATCGGCCAGCTATTCATGCCAGAACAGTATTCTTCCTCACTGGTTGTGAAAGCAAACACATCACACTAACTAAATATATCCCTGTGCATACCCTATTTGAACAGCTTAGCCAAGAGCAGCGCAATATTCTCCTTGCTGTATACTGCCTTACTGGGTGTGACACGGTTAGTGCATTCCATTGACACGGAAAACGCACAGCCTTCAGAATTATGATGCAGAAAGCAAATCTGTTCCAGCCACTTACCAATCTTGCAAATTGCAGAATTGCAGATATCCAGACAGCAGAGGGCTGCTTGCACTGCATTCGTAATGGCTTTGGCCGGATGTGTCTCGTTTGATACTTTGCGATGTAAAAAAGCAGCAAAGCAGATTGCACCTAAGAAACTTCCCCTGACTGAAAACAGCTTCCAACAGCATATTCTACGCACTGCATATCAATTGATGATATGGAGGCAAGCAGATGTCACCATCCCTGATATCCCAGAACCAACAGAGTATGGATACTTTAGGGAAGCTGACAATTCCTTACAGCCGTGCATGATGGATCAGGAACCAACATCACCGGGACTCATGAATGATTTGTTGTGTACATGCAAACATAATTCTTGCCTCACAAACTGTACATGTATCGACAACAACCAGCCATGTACAGCGACATGTTCCTGCGAAGCCCAACTTCGTTAAGAGAGCAACGATGGTGAATGCGCCAACCCTCTAACAATAGCAGCATTATATATCGATGACAGTGACACAGATACTGATGGAGATGACTAATTACACACAGAGCAGATTTTGATGATTGCCTTATTCCCTTGACATTTATTTTGAATGGTCCAGGATACTTTACATGATATATATGTCTGTATCCAAAGACACTCCTCTCACACAAATGATGTAATACCTGGTACTATACAATCACGAGATGACCATAAGTTACTCTAACAGTCAATACCATATTGTAAAATATTAGTAGTTTCTCAGTCTATTAGATTACTTTGTGCTGCAGGGCATCATCAACCAAAGAGTTGCAATACTGCTGTAATCATGATAAGAAAACATGTTTAAAATGATATCAAATTAAATTCTTTGATGTAGCACATATCTTACACATTACATTGATCTCTGCACTGAATATGATTTCTGTTTCGTTTATACATTCTTCAAGGAAATGTCTGTTGAAGCTAAACTTTTGGATTAATTTAGTGTATGTATGTATGTATGCATGCATGTATATATATACTGGGAAACATATGAAAACCATATCATTGAAGAGTGTGTACATATACACATGACCGATTCATAATGATAGTCAAAGGTATACTATAATATATAGCAAATTATGACCTTTTCAAATGATATTAATTATTTATAAACATATCACTACCACTGCAATCATCTAAGCATAGAGTATAACCATATTTCTGAACCATGATAAGCCTAGGAACTATAAAACCCAATTATCAGTGCACAACCAACAGTATGTTCCTGAAAATGTATTTGATACATTTGTCTACCTATTAACCTCCAGTAACCTTTGCCTCTGACCTATGAACAAATATCTTAAAGGGTCTAAAAGACCATTGCAATAGCTTTAAAACGGAGTCTATGTTTTTAAAATAGGGTAATTAGAAGAAAATATATGAGGGTTTATGTTTCCCCCATCCCATTTTATAATACCGCTAACGTATATTTTGGCAGTTCTATGTTACCAAATTCAAACCTCAATTTCTCAATTCGCCAGCATTTCCAAAGATGTCCTCAGGCTGTTTCATACTCTAGACATATTGTCCTTCAAATTTATGCATGAGGACAAATGTGGCACCTTGGGTGCCACCAACTCCCAAAATAATGACCTTTTGGGCCCTTGCTGCAGCACTAATAGTAGTGTGGGTGATGAAAACAGAAGACAAAACAAACGTAGCATATTCTCAGAATTTCCTGAATCACGCACGAGTTAGGACGCCCTCTCTATCATAATAGTATAACTTTCAAAGTCACATGATTGGGCCGAGATTATACGAACGATTACCAACAAAACAGTGATCGATCATTACGTCTGTACCAGGGAGAACATTTGATTCTGTTGTGGTTCTTGGTGGTGCTCGTGTGAATAGGACTGTTGACATGTACTCGCCACTGAGAGGAACAGCTCAGTCGATGTCTATTACTAAATCTGTGTCATGTCCCACAGCTTCTGTCAATGGATCGGAAAAACGGTTTCGCGAATTTCGCCACGAGTTTTCCACCGAAACTTGCTCCATCGAAGAACAGATAGACGAACGAGTACGAGCTAGCGAACGGCATGAACAAGTCGAAGTGAAAGAGTCGACAGTCATGGTAATTTATACCGGTGGCACAATCGGAATGAAAAGTGAAAATGGCGGTAAGAATACTCCCTGACAGTATCGATATCAAGTCGTTGCTAGCGTATAGAATTATCTGGCAGTTTCTGTTCTGAAGAAAAGACCGGCGAGGCAAGACAGATGAGATCGTATACTAGTACATGATTTTTTCTCGAGTTTGTTTCTACCGGCACCCCATAAGTGCTTGCACGAAATTATCAAAAGATAAAGGTCCGGGTTAAAGGTTACGGAGCTGTCATTTTATGTTTCATTGACCTACCGGTACTTTATATCTTGTTTCAGTATATGTCCCTGTTCACAATTATTTTAGTGAGATGGTTCGATTGATGCCGACTCTTCATGACAAAGATTATGCTGAAAAACTTAAAGATAGTGACATCTACGATGAAAACCCTTTTGTTTTACCGTAAGTTCTATTATTTAGATTTTTATCTATTAAAATAAAAATTTTATAATTATCTCCCTGTCAGATCGTATTGACATTTTTATCAAAACTGTATTCGCTTTTGGTATTTGAATTTTTTTGTAGTCAAAGTAATATTTGAGTTTGTAGTAATAAAAAGAAAAAATAATACAGTGTGTAACAAGAAATCAAACATAAATTTTTACAGTATTTTGTTATGAGAAGGCTGTCAATTTATAGTTTGTGATTTGATCTGGTTGAAGACTTGAGTTTTTTTTATTGAAACACATAACATTCCTTGAGAGGAATTAAAGTTTTGAGTGTCTTATTTTACACATCAAAATGTTGGCTATGCTCTCTCTCTCATCATTTTTTTCAAAATTTACTAAAAATCTCTAGATAAGTTTGTAAACACTGCATTATAAAGTGCTGTTTCTTGTTCTTAATTATCACATTTACTCACACCTAAAAAATCCTAGAGAGAACCCAGTTTTGTGCTTCAGTTTGCCCATTTTTATATAGCTTTATAATTTCTAATTGGCTGATAAAAATGTTAAACAAAAATTATGCAGCCTTGATTTGTCAAAAGTGTCAAAAGTTGAAATAGTTACATAATAAACTAAAGTAGACAAAATACAGCACAGTACAACTAAACAACACAAAAAAATGGTTAAAAAAAATTTATCACAATCTTTGTTTTATTGGTGGGTCATAGCAACAATGTAGCATGTGACAGAAATAGAATCATTTGTGCAGGTACAAATCTCCTTAAATGATTTTGCTGACATTTGATTCTTCTTAATTACGACTACCAACAAGCTATGTGTTTATAGGATAGGATCCTTATACTGCCTTTGTGCGTACTTTACAGTATTCTGGTGATAACAGCAGTTTAGATAATTCGTGGTCTGTTAAATAGAGACAAAATATTTATAGTAATTTTTACTTTGATGTGTCACATAATTATAAAATTAGATTATTAAAATTAGTCGTCAAATTTTATATTTTTACCCAAAGTAATACTATTTTAGAGAAAAAAATGACATTTATGTATTTCCATATGAATCATGTTAAAGCATTATTTCATTATTAAAATCAATTTAATCATCAGAATTTCCTAACAATTACATATAATTTTTAAAAAGTCTAAAATTTCATGATTGAAAATGGTCAAAATTGTCATTTTTACACTGGTTTCTATGATGAGATTATTTATTTTGTTCCAAACAAATTTTATCTCAAAAAAACTTGTCATCAAACATTTCTGCATGCCTGGACTAATGTTATTCAAATTTTATGAACAACACACATGATATTTTGTTTCTGGTTTTGGATTGGATTGTCCAACTGTTGGTTCATGTGTTTTTAACAATTTTTTTTTATGAGTAAAGTAGTTTGATGACCTTACTCTCCTTTTTTATGCGTGTCTTGTGAACAACACTGTTTACACCCATAAACTAAAAATAACATTTACAGGACACACGTATTCTGTTTATGGTATCTGGGGTAAAGGTGTGTAGCTACTTGAGTATGAAGTAATTATCTCTTGTCTGCATACTTCTTGTTACCAGTACTGTTTTATAGTTAGATATGACTATAATTCCATATTTCCTGGAACTTTTCCAAATATTATCAACTTTTCCAGTACAAATAGTATGTCACTTTAAATTTTACGTATTGTATTTTCTCTATTAGTAGCACATGACAGAGATATTTTAAGGTCCAAAATAATTTTAATAATCCAGAATAAATGAAATTTCTAACAGTAAAAATACAGTACCGTTCTCAGTTCAGTATTGTTTATTTGGTCGACTGAAAATCGCAAAATGGGTAGACACATCATAATATATTTTCACTGATTCATAAAAATGATTGTATAAAAAAATGTATTATCAGTCAAAATAGTGAAAATTAATAACATGTGAACATAGAGTATTCCCCAGAAATGATGAGAATAAGATTGTGATTTATATCATCAACAGGTTATCTCTTCAACAGCGCCGCATCATCTACTGGATTTACGAATATGAAGAACTTGTGGATTCCAGCAATATGCATGTGACCAATTGGATACATATAGCACAGGATATAAAGAGATCTTACACCAAATATGATGGTTTTGTCGTACTACATGGAACAGACACGATGGCGTACACAGCCTCGGCACTCTCCTTCATGTTTGAGAATCTCGGCAAACCAGTAATATTGACAGGATCACAGGTACACAACTTTTCATCAAAAAAATTATATTTTATATTTATAACCATCGTGTATTGCACATCTGTGTCATGAGGTTACATTCAACCAATCAATAATACCCCCCCAACTGGACACAGTCCGGGGCTTATGGATATGACTTCGTTCGTCCTTTTCGTCTGTCCTTTCTTTCATCTCATTATCTCAGAAATTTATCAATCGATTTTTCCCAAACTTGGTACATGGTTGATACATGATGTATTGTGGGATAGATATGACCGAATCAAACAACTCTGTCAATTGACAACTTGTCTGTAACTGCAATCTGGCACAACTATCCCACAATGCACTATACTTACATTTTGCCAACCTAGACATTAAGAGATTTGCACTTGTTAAAGAGTGCTGTGACATTCTGAATTTCTCAATTGACATGATTTTATTTTATTTTCAAACTGAAAGGTTCCGTTATTTGAGCTACGTAACGATGGTCGTGATAATCTGCTGGGTGCTATTTATTTAGCAGGTCATGTCGCAATCCCCGAGGTGAGTATATAAATATCCCAGAAGTATTCTGATTTGATGAGTATTCATAGTATGGTTTGTTTTTAGTTTGTGTGTGAACAGGAAGCTAATGTTGTACTGTCTGTCTTTCTGTATTAATGGGTGGATGTGTCAAATCTTGTTCCAAAATTATCTCAAAAACTGCTTAGTAGATTGGAAATTTGTAATGTTGTACCCAGATACCTTATAATGAACTCCATGATTGACATGATTGTTTTAGCACAAATGCGTGCATATTAATTAGGTAATTTGCATAACAATCAACCAATTACAGCTTGTTCCTTCTGGATTTTCACAATGCAATTAAAACTTGGTACATGCATACTATTGCTATGTTCACACGGCAGCATTCTACAGGAGCCGAACTACTGCTCCTCCCACCGATTAACAGGAGATTATCTCTAATGCGTTCATACGGTCGGAAGCCGAACGAGAGCCGAGATCTGCCGAGTTCGATTCAGTTCGGAACGGGACAGTGCCCTCAAATAGTTGTAATAAGAGGTTACTTCAAGTTGGAGAAGACGATTGAGGGTGTGATTTGGGCTCCAATAGTTGGGCCCCTGCGTATACACGGTTGGGGCCATGTTGGGGCTCAACCCTATTGGAGTTCAACCCCGAGGGTTTATTGGAGCTGAGCCGGCTCGAGCCGAACGCGTATACACGGCCATTTTTGCTGGCTCGAGCTGTAGCGCTCCGATAATTAAAATGCTGTTGTGTGAACGTAGCGTGTTCTTTGTTGAATATCTAACACTACTTGGGAATTTATCTATACATGCAGCTAATTTCATGTTTGGGACTACATAAATTCATTAAGGGATGACCTAGAGCCCAACCCCAAGGCAGATATTGAGAACTGTCCATAACACTTACTCATATGTAGTTTCTAATTTTGGTGTTGTTGTTTCCAGATCTGGTCTGCAAAATTTCAAATGAATATGTTTTCACCTTGTCTGGATAAGAATATTATTTCATACAGAAAACCTTATTCCCAGAGTAGTGGCTGTGTATATGACGACATTTTCTGCAAACCACTGTGACCTTTCTGTTTTATAAATCTTTTAGATGCCACCGTTTCTTTGACCAAAATGTTGACCCAAGATTTGGCACATTTTAATATACTACCGGTATTATTAATATACTTAAATTTTGTAAATTTGATTTTTGTATTCAAAGAGTTAACGTAAACTGGCAGGATTTGGATCTGTCAGTCAATTTACAGAATTATGCAGCCTTGGTTATGCCTTACTTTCTAAAACTACAAACATGTGTTTATCTCTGTAGGTGGCATTATACTTTAACAATAAGTTGTTCCGTGGTAACCGTTGCACGAAGGTAGCATCTCACAGCTTTGATGCCTTTGATTCACCAAATCTAGCACCATTAATTAATATGGGAGTGGACATAGAAGGTATGTTACATTGATAATACCCGTGGTACTGTTCAAATTATAAACTTGCATTGCCTATTTGTAATAAAAAAAATTGACAGATGTTACTGTGATTTTATGTCTTTGAGGGCTCCAGGAAATAAAGTTCACTGCTATAAAATATTGTGATTTCTCCCTGTCTCCAGAAATTTAAAAAAATTTGTCTCGTGAAATTAAGTGGTATATACAAAGTATCAATAGACAGCTTGACAATTATTTATAAGAAATGTTGTTTTACTTTTGTCCAATTTTTTTTTTAGATAGTTGGTCATAAATCCCATGACCACGTTCATTGGTTTATTGTGTAAAACCACGGAGCTATTGTCCATTCATCATGATATAGTATTATTTTGTGTGTTAAAGTTATGTGTTTTGAGGAAATTGTCCTAATATTTCTCAAAAATCGCTATTTTTAGTACAATTACATAGAACTCAATGTTAAAGAAAAATGCATTTTTTGACCTATTTCAAAACCCAGACTTTGTAAACAATTAAGGACAGCAAACATTTACTCACTGACAATATATGATTTTTTCAGCCTATGTCAACAGCCTGTAATTTGAGATATGACATCATATCTCTGCCATATGAACCTATGGTAAAAACGTAATAATACTGAAAAAATTGCCACAATCCACTAAAATATTTCTTAAAAATTAGACTAGTGACCCCAAACTTTTTTTTAAGTTAATATCTTTGTTATTGCCTGAGGGTAAAATTTATTGCAAAATGAATAAAGTTTTTTCATTTATTTAATTTTGTTTATATTAACTTAATATATTCAATATTTTCATTTTGTTCTGATAGTTTGTTGGGATAGTATCTTTCGGAGTTCTGCCACCGAAAAGTTCAAAGTTCAAGAGAAAATGAATACCAACATTGGTTTACTACGGCTCTTTCCCGGCATCACCACGGAAACGGTAAGACATTTATAGCTTTTAGTTCCTATCTTGCTTTGTACCAAAAGAATTCAGACATCCTAGTAGTAGTTGTACAGTTTAATTAATGAGTACTTTTGTACTACGCAGGTATGCACTACACATTTCTAGGTTTGTTTTCAGGGGATTATTGGTGCCAGGTACAGACATAATAGTATCACTGTAGTTAAATAAATGTGTCTGTCTTGTATTAATCACTGATACACCTGTTTGTTGTGGCAGGCTATTCTTGTCCTACCGATACACTGTTGAAAGGGGGTGGGGTTGGTGAGGGGGTGGAGGGTGTTTTATTTATGAACATTACATTCTGTACGACTGAAACGTAACATGGGCTGAATTTTGGTTACTGTACATGAGCAGACGATTATTACAGTGATATCAATTTTCATCCATGTACTTCACTTTCTTGGACCAATTGAATGGCATGACTTGTGGTGTCTCTTTTAGACTGATTCATTATTTGACAGTTTCTCGTGGGATTTATAAATTGAATTTATTCCAAAATTAGTACAAATTGTACATCTGTGGCTATAAATGTTTTGATCCAAACTCGTGATGGCAGAAGAGTGTATTCACAGTGAGAACGGTGATCCTGTATGCACAAACTCAAGTTTATTGTTAGGCAGTGAAAAGTTGTGAATAAATAAGATCTCCATATCAAGTCTGCGTAATATTGGATTTGTTAAAATATCAAAGCTTGTACATGAAAACTGTTTTGATCAATTTTACCATCTAATATATCTCAAAGATAAATTAAATTTCCTAAAGAATGAGGAGGTATGCCACTGATAAAAGGCCACTAAACTCAAAACACAAAAGCTCAAAAGAGAATACTGTTTTCCTACAATACCACATCAGCTACATATTAAGTTACCATTACCATGAATAAACACACTTACCAGGCAAAGTAGCAATTACATTAGTTACAAAGAATTTAATCGACAAAGAATTAATTTTAAACCGCTGTTGAAAACATATTTAGTGAATACTGTAATTGTTGTAGTCGATTCATTGCACATAACTACTGTATATGTCAAAGCCTATAAACAAAATATATCCGATAATAAACTCAACTGTTTTTTGTTGATTATGTTATTTCTTGTATGACGGTCTTCCTGTTTCTCATCTACTCAACCATGTTGTCATCTTCTATTCATTCCTATTTATTTCCAGTTTCTCAATCATTTTCCTTCTTCATATTTTTATCACTCAATACCCCATAGGTGATTGATTTTTTAGATCAGCTGCAGAGTGACTTGCCATACCAGCTGGATCTCACAAACCATCTTGACGTCACACAGGTAGCTGTGCAAAAAATTCATATTCATAAAAACAAAATCTCATTTCCTTTTTAGTAGGTTAGTTAGGTAGTCAGGGCAACTAAATTCTGGTGACCTGGGTTGCTTCAGACTCCATCACTAGAAGATACCTCTCTGTGTAGTATGTAGGTGTGGCATATCACTGCACTGATTTTTTTCTTTTTCCAATGTTTGTAAAAACCACTTTCCTCTTGTACTGTCTGTCTGTCTGTCTGTCTGTCTGTCTGTCTGTCTGTCTGTCTGTCTGTCTGTCTGTCTTTGTATATTTTCTTATGTCCTTGTGTTGTATGTTTAATATCTTTTTACAGGTTGTCAGATTTCTCTGTCCTTCTCTTAATACTGATGGTAATTCAGTGACAGACAGTGCTGTCCTTCATACTTCTGACGAAACTAAGGTATAAAAATAAATAATAACACATGTATCACTATTTTCTAACCTCTGTTGAAACTTATGCATGCATGTCTGTTTCTCTCTTTCTTTCTGTCTGTCTGTCTGTCTGTCTGTGTGCAGTTTTTGTACTTTGATCTGAATAACTTTTGGTACAAATCTATGCCTAGTTATTAGCCACATTTGCATAATAAATATTTAGCACCTTTCTCTGCTACCATTACAAGTGTTTCAGTGGTGCTATATACAGTGTACATGTAAATTATAAATAAAACATAAGGTACTTAGTGTTTAAAGCAGAATTTAAACTAACAATTTGCAAAGTTGACAGAATGAGATAATTGAGATCAATTTGCAATATATACAATCAGCATCTCAGTATTGTTTACAATAATACTTTACACAAGCTTTAGCTTTATTCTTCCACATTAACTCTATAATTTGAGGGCGAGACTGTTTCTGTTTGTGGAGGGTAGGTACAAGTTTGACTGCTTCAGGTATTCCAATTCAAAATTTGTTTAACTAGATAGAAAAGCTGGCTGTACTGCTTGGCATGATGTTTTTCAATATGCACAATACTTGTAATATTTATCTGTCGCATTTGTAATTTAGCTGATCAAAGCTCAGACCTACTTCTCTCCAAAACAATGGTTTATTCCGAATTGCAGCTCTCTTTTGCAAGTTATTATTATAGAAAGATGCTCAGATTATTTTCTGTTTTTCAATTCATGTATTAAAAAAAAATCCATATGGTATCATGCATGTTATTCTATCTTAAACAAAACTTATATGGTACATACGTGCTATACTGTTATTGCCTGATTTACAGGTCAAGGCATTTCTGCAGCCACCAATGCAAGGAATAGTGTTGCAGACGTATGGAGCTGGCAATGCACCAGACAACAGGAAAGATCTCCTCGCAGCTTTTAAGGAAGCTTCCGACAGAGGGGCGCTAATTGTGAATTGTACACAATGTACAAAGGGTACCGTGGTTTGCTCATATGCTACGGGAAGGGTAAGTGTCTTATTTTTTCACTTTCTGTTATCTATTGGTAATGGTATTTCTGATGTTTAGTTTGTAGCTGATATCTTTTCTTAGTTAATTTCAAACTTGTGTACAATATTCAAATTGTATGCATGATATCATCATCTGGATCACATGATTAACACATGATTCATTCTACCAAGATATTACTTTTGGCATCAGACATAGATCATAAGAGCATGATGTAAAATTGCCAAAGAGAGTGAGTGCAATTCATAATACACTGGCTGAAAAGGATCTTCTATTGTATAGTGGTGAGGCTGGTGAAGATGGCATGACATGTCTTCCAGCTAGAATAACCACCTGTCTATATTCAGAACCATTCTATGTCATTATTAAACAGTTGACTTGTATTCCAGGCATTGCTGGATGCCGGGATCATTCCAGGGTCTGATATGACAGTGGAAGCAGCTTTAACAAAATTGAGCTATGTTCTTAACAAAGAGGGTCTCAGCGTGGAGGAGAAACGAAAACTCATGGCTACAAACTTGCGTGGAGAAATGAGAGTGATGCAGGGTATTCCAGAGAAGTTAAGTTTGAAGGACAGCGAGTTCATCCGTGGTGTAGCAACTACTTTGAAACTAACATCTAGTGAGGTTGGTCTAATCAAGTCAATGTGATTTATGTTTTAGCAAATTGCCGTTGTGAAGACCTTTTGTCAAGGTTGTCGTCACCTTCCACAATTTAGTTTTATGCAACATCTACTTCCAGCATCTGTCAGATAGTTGCAGAATTCTTGAAACTTCTCAAATTCTCATTTTAACAGGAGGTTCGTGCTGTTGCTGACGCTTTGTTTCCAACATTGATGTGCTCTGCAGCTAAACTGGGAAATATAGACCTAATGAAAGATCTTCAAAAATATGTAAGTCACACTTCTTATGATTGGTTATGAATATTGTAAATACTTTAATTAATTTTTGCTGAAATGACTATGGGTATTTTGTATGGAATTTATTTTCACTTATTTTTGCTGAGTTTAAGAGGTGTATTTGCTGGGATATATTTTTACTGAATCTTTCCTTCAGCAAAAATTAATTTTAAGCGAAAATAAAGTATATTTCACAGTCTAATGCATCAATACTAAAACTAACTGAACATTAATTGACATAGCTTGAATTTTTATTTTTTTGTTGTGGTTCCCAGGGTAGCAATCTTGACAACAATGATTACGATGAACGTACACCATTGCATATTGCAGCAGCTGAGGGAAAGCTGGATGCTGTCAAGTTTTTACTGGAGAATGGTGCTTCTGTGCATGCGAGAGACAGATATGATCACACCCCTCTTATGGACGCCATTCGGTTCAAGTAAGTGGTAATCCAAATCATTACAGCTGATGTCATTTCTGCCTGTGATAATGTTACAATTATTACTAGAACATGGTATCAAGACAATGATGTTAGCATACAGTAATCTGATTAGTATAAGGGGGATCATCTAATTGTGAGATTTTTGTATATATTCTGTAAAAACAATTAATTTTGGATTACAATTGCTGTCGCATTTTGGCTGATTAGACAAGGCAGCTGCTTGTTGGATAATTTAACTGACTAGGGTACCTACAATTTACATGACTTTTATTTGTTTCACCGTAGTATAGCTATATAAGTATAATAATCTTTGATTGTACTTCTTTTTTTGGGGTTTGCCAGTAATGAAGTGAAGGGAAAGTCATAGTAGTGGCAAAATGTCTGTCGTCTTCGTTGTAAACTTTTCTTGTGTGTGCGATAAACTCAATAATATCCAGCCGATGGCTATCAAACATGTATATATATTGATTCATATATATATATATCAAACTTGTATATAATTTGTAGGTACAGTTGGCCTTTATAGATTACTTACGGTAGTCTTCCAAAAACTTGATGTTTTTTTCATTAATTAAAGTGTATAATATGTTTAATGGGAAATTTCATAGTTTAATGGGACAGACCTTAATTTCGCAGGTGAAAGATTGAGTTGAAATCCTGTGCTATTATTTTTACTTCTTTATTTAATTTTGTTTTATTTGAATGTGGAATTGTATAATTTTCATGTGTTTTTTTTTTTTTGAATTATTTTCTTTGTCTCTTTTCATTGATTTTCATATTATGTAACATTTATTTTGTAAATGTTACCAATAGAGGGCGCCCTTTAACTGTTTGTTCAATAACTTCAGTGCTTAGCATTTCCAGTAATTTTATAACAAACATTGCTGACAATAAACAGTGGTGGTATTAATTATGGCTAAACCATTCAGCAAAATAATGTGTAGTCATGATTTCTAGCAATTTGACTACTGTAAAATTTTAGCTAGAATTAATTTTCGCTGAAAAGACTTTTTGGGTGTTTTGTATGGAATTTATTTTCACTGATTTTTGACGAGTTGATTGCAAAATATAGGAAAAAAGGATTTTATTTTCACTGAATTATTCCTTCAGCGAAAATTTATTCCAAGCAAAAATTAAGTATTTTACAGTAATCAGATTGATCAGGCTCATGATAAATTAACAATAATTTGACTTTGTTAGTCCCCGTTCGGACGCAGTCCGAAAACGGGGACTTATGTTTTGCCCTGTGTGCGTCCGTGCGTCCGTGATCACCTGTATCTCGAACATGCATGGACCGATGAGTTCAACTTCACTCATACATCACACATTATATGGGACATATGCA